AGTTTCTCCTAGACAGAGAACATAAGTAATATCATGCTGATAAAACAGTACCTTCTGGGATGTCATCGGAAGAGTCATCCGAACATCAAACAGTTATATGCTCCCCCGAGTCATATCAGGAACACCTATACGGCAACTTTGAATAACAGTCATGTTGGACTTGGAAGTCGCCCACCACCATTAACAGAAACTGAAGAATTCTGGCTCAATTGAGGTTGGTATGGAGCAACAGGCTCAATGCCTACTGGACCCTCTCTCAACTAAATGTTCAGCATGTGATCAGGGTCCTCATGATACCCACCACAAGTAGCACGAATATCAGTCCTGAAACTCAATGCAGAATCCCCGGATTAGATTATTATATAGTCGTAATTATAGGGTGGTGGATAGGAACACAAAATTCTCATGCTGAAACCCAAATGAGAAGGGAACGAAAAGTCTCCTCAGTATAACAAGTCCAAGGTTAGTTTGATGATAATTGTGCGAAGGGAATATGACTAAACACTTTCCAATTACCCAACACACACTGGTGCATCACAACATAAAAACTCCCGGGAGTCTTAAAAAACTTTTTACAAAATCCAATTAATACGATAGCACTCTTTTACTAAATTAATAGCACTTAACCTATAACAATTTCTGTAATAATATAGTTGTATAATATTCCTTTTTTGTTGTAAAGTAAAACTTACCTACAAGGAAGTCAAAAATAATAGTTACAAATAACTTCTACTTAATTACTAAGAAATATTATAAAAATTGCCATTTAACTATTTATCATTTATAAGATTCAAAGCAAAATGACCACCACAAGACATCCATAATCAATGGCAGTTATTAATGACAGTTGTTTTGATTTATTAAAATTCTTTAAAAGACAAAATTGTTGTTTGTCAATTGTTGCAATATCACAACTACACAACTACTACTACTACTTCCAATTGCAAAACTTGGCATCATAGTGGAGCAAGTACAAACCAAATACGAACTTGAGCAAATATATACGGATATTTTTTATATGTATATCCCTCTATCATGGTCATTTAATCCTTTGGGTCCTATTGCTTGTGTGTACACCCATAAATAAGTGATCATGTCACCATTTTAATAACTCTTCAGAAACTACTACTTAAAATAGCAAAAGATACATATTGTTGAACAAAATGCAACTCTGCAAACAAACAAAAAAATGCAAAAAGAAAAAAACTAAAAGAAAAAGATGAAAACTAAATAAACTAATAGTTTTGAAAGCCAAAAGCGTAAACTTGCAACATCATGATAATTTTCCAAAAACAAATATTTTAAACGCACACGTACCACTCACTCACTTACAACCAATTCCACAAACTAAGTTGAGTTGAGTCTAGGAGTTTAAACTGAACTAAACTAAAGTTAAGTAAACTAAATTGTAAAAAAAGAAATAACAACGCATACAACATCTAACGCATGCCACCATATGTGGTGATAATACTGTTTTGCCTGCATGGCCATAATGGCTATTTTGCTGCTGCCGCTAATATTATTGTGGCAACGACAATGATGCTGATGATGACGACGTTGAAAAACTGTTTTGTTGCACTAAATGTTTGTTAGACCATCTACCATCCAGTAACGTAACGTAACGGCGGCGGCGGCATTATTTCACATTTAACTCTTTAGCGATTACAAAGACCTGATATTGTCTCATTTTAGCAGCATGTGACAGTTTTATTACTGCCTAGTGTGGTCATCTACTAGCAACTACAACAATATAAACTGCAACCACATTAGCCAACAAATAAAGTAAGTAGTTGAAGAAGTTGTAGTACGAGGGGTGTTTGAAAAGTGTTTGAAAAATATAATGATAGTCCAAACAATTGAATAGTCCTTAAACTAGAGCATTACTGAGACCACACATAAAAACATTAACTAGTCTATAGACCTGCAAGTAGACTAGTCTATAGACTTGTCCACAAAATAGTCAATAGACTAGTCCATAGACTAGTTTTAGTCCATAAACTAGTTTATATACTAGTTCATAGACTAGTTTATAGATTAGTCCATAGACTAGTTTACAGACTAGTCTACAGATTTGTCAAAAGACTAATATATATAGAATAGTTCATAGACTTGTCCACAGACTAGTTCAAAGATTAGTTAATAGACTAGTCCATAGACTAGTTCATAGACCAGTTCATAGTCTAGTTCATAGACTAGTCCATAAACTAGTTTATAAACTAGTCCATAGACTAGTTCATAGACTAGACCATAGACTAGTTCATAGACTAGAAAATATACTAGTTCATAGACTAGTCCATAGACTAGTTCACAGACTAGTTCATAGACTAGTTCACAGACTAGTTCATAGACTAGTTCACAGACTAGTTCATAGACTAGTTCACAGACTAGTTCATAGACTAGTCCATAGACTAGTTCATAGACTAGTCCATAGACTAGTTCATAGACTATAGTTTATAGACTTGTCCATAGACTAGTTTATAGACTTGTCCATAGACTAGTTTATAGACTTGTCCATATACCCAATTATACACTAGTTAATAGACTAGTCGATAAGTTAGTCAATGGGTAGTCAACACGCCAGTCAATAGAACAGTCAATATACTAGTCCATAGACTAGTTTATAGACTAGTCCATAGACCATTTAATAGATTAGCCCATAGACTAGTCAGTAGATCAGCCCATAGACATAGTCCATAGTCACTACACTAGTCTAGAGATTAATCAATAGACTAGTCCATAAACTAGTTTATACACTAGTCCATAGACTAGTTTACAGACTAGTTCATAGACTTGTCCATAGACTAGTTCAAATATTAGTTAATAGACTAGTCCATATACTAGTTCATAGACCAGTTCATAGACTAGTTCATAGACAGTTCTGTGGACTAGTTTATGAACTAGTATATGGACTAGTCTATGGACTAGTCTCTGACCTAGTCTATGAACTAGTTTATAAACTAGTCAATGAAATAGTCTATGAACTAGTCTATGAACTAGTTCATAAACTAGTCTATGAAATAGTCTATGGACTTTTCTGTAGACTAGTCCATAGACTAGTTCATAGACTAATCCGTAGACTAGTTCATAGACTAGTCTATAGACTAGTTCATAGACTTGTCCATAGACTAGTTCATAGACTAGTCCATAGACTAGTTCATAGACTAGTTCATAGACTAGTTCATAGACTAGTCCATAGACAAGTTCATAGACTTGTCCATAGACTAGTTTATAGTCTTGTCCATAGACAAGTTCATAGACTAGTTTATAGACTCGTCTATAGACTAGTTTATAGACTAGACCATAGACTAGTCCATAGACTAGTTCACAGCCTAGACCATAGACTAGTTTATAGACTAGTTCATAGACTAGTTTATAACTAGTTCATAGACTAGTTTATAGACTAGTTCATAGACTAGTTCATTGACTAGTCCAAAGACTAGTCCATAGACACTTTCATAGACTATTTCATAGACTAGTCCATAGGCTAGTCCATAGACTAGTTCATAGACTAGTTCATAGACTAGTTTATAGACTAGTTCATAGACTTGTCCATAGACTAGTTTATAGACTAGTTCATAGACTAGTTTATAGACTAGTTCATAGACTAGTTCATAGACTAGTTCATAGAGTAGTTCATAGACTAGTTCACATCCTAGTCCATAGACTGTTTCATAGACTATTTCATAGACTAGTCCATAGTTGATAGACTAGTCCATAGACTAGTCCATAGACTAGTTCATAGACTAGTTTATAGACTTGTCCATAGACTAGTTTATAGACTAGTTCATAGTCTAGTCCATAAACTAGTTCATAGACTAGTCCAGACTCGGTCATAGACTAGTCCATAGGCTAGTTCACAGACTAGACTATAGATTAGTTCATAAACTAGTCCATAGTGTAGTATATAGACTACTGCATAGACTGGATAATATACCGGTCCATTGAGTATACCATATACCAGTTTATAGACTAGTCTATAGAAGAACTTTTCTAAATCTTCCTCGTAGCTATAGAACTACTAAAAATCTTGCAATTTTTTCACCATTATTGCTATTCTTTCATCTTCTTCAGCATCATGATCATCAACTACTCTTCATTACTCCTGGCTTAACACAAAAAAATGTGTGTATGTTTTTATTCCTATTTCTTTCTTTAGCCATAAATATATTAGATGTTTGTTGCAACATTATGCCTGGTTATTTAGTTGGATGTTTGTTGAGTTAGTAGTTTGCTATTAGTTTCTTTGGTTGGTTGGTTGGCTGACTTGGATGGTGTTTAGTTAAGCTGAAGCTGGAGTAAGTTTAACCATTTAAGGTTTTTGTGGCTGCTACTTACAGTTGCAGTTGTTGGTTTGATAATTTTTCTTTTTTTCTTTTTGCAAACTGAAAAAGTTAGATAACTTAACAGGTGAAATTAATTTTTTGTCACTTCATAAATTTATTTGCTGTCTCTTAAAATGAATAACCACAGCAATAACAACGACATAAAAAAAGTGCTTTAATTTGTTGCTGCTGCTGGTGCTTGCTAGTTACTGTCATTACTGGTTGTTAGTTTGACTACCAATTTTCTACTTAAGCTTGTTAACAAAGTAATTCGTCAATTAAATCCCATTATACTTCCTATTGAAACTAGTTTGCGTGTAATAGAGAGTTGATTAAAAAAAAGCTAAATTTAATTAGTAAACAGTGAATTACTTAATTAACAAACTGTCATAATTGCTGTGTTGTTTTTTTGTTTGTTTGTTCGATAATCACTACAATTCATTGATTCGTAAAGTTAATGATTTGAGAGAAATCGATTATTTATAAACTAGAATGTATGTATTCGATTATGCCGAATCCTCTACGTGTCAACTATATTGTCATTTATAGAGTCGAAAGTTGTAACACTAGTTATTAAGAATCTTTATTTGTCATCCGTAATTGTATGATCGCTAGATCATGTTGAAAGACTTGGAGTCCCAAAGAAAATATTCCTCTCGATTAACTAGTTCGCAATACTTCTGCCTAAAACATTATTTTATAATTTAAACTCTTTTTAAAAAACATCTCCTCTAAAGAACTTCATTATTAAGTAGTTTTTATTAATTCATTTATTTATATATTTATTATAGTTTGTGCCAAAGTTTGGCCAAAGTGATTATCATTTGACATGACGTTTTGTATATTTATGATGCATTTAGGTCATAAACATGCAGTTTTTTCTCGTAGCTCTTTACCACCTTTAGCAGTATATAAACTGCTACTTCTTCAGTTTGTTCTTTTTGTTGGTGTTTTGTTTAGACATGTTGTAAGTGAGTTTGTATTTATGAAAATAATATAAACAAAATAATAATCATTTTATAGCCACGTTTTAAAAAAAGTCGGGGTATATTGATTTAGTCGTTTCGTTTGCAACACCTAGATGTATTGCTCATAGAATCCGTGTATTATGGGTTCTAATTTCGTTATTCAGCCCGGTAATCTAATGTAATGTATGTCCGTTTGGTTCGTCTAGTCTAGAATAACTTGAATATTGCCTATTCTTTTGACAAGTATGTATAAAGACTGTTCTACCTAGTTAGTAGGCTAATCTGTCTGTTGACTAGTCTATTCTATTGACGAGTCTATGGACTATTCTAACGCCTAGTCTATGAACAAGTCTATAAACTAGTCCATGGACTAGTCTATGAACTAGTCTATAAATTAGTTCATGGACAGGTCTATGAACTAGTCCATGAACAAGTATAAAGACTAGTATATGAACAAGTATAAAGACTAGTATATGAACAAGTCTATTGACTAGTCTACGGACTAGTCTTTGAACAAATCTATGGACTCTTCTATGAACTAGTCTACGAACTAGTTTATGAACTAGTCTAGGTACTACACTATTAACTAGTATAAAGAGTAATCTCTAGAAGACTCTACGGACTATTCTATTGACGAGTCTATGGACTATTCTATTGACGAATCTATGGACTATTCTGTTGACTAGCCTATGGACTAGTTGATTGATTATTCTATGAAGAAGTCCATGGACTATTCTAATGACTAGTCTATGGACAAGTCTATTGACTAGTCTATGGATTAACCTATTGACTAGTTTATGGGCTAGCCAATGGACTAGTCTATTAACTAGTCTATGGACTAGTCTATTGACTAGCCTATGGACTAGTCTATTGATTAGTCTATGGACTAGTCTATTGATTATTTTACGAACAAGTCTATGGACTATTCTAATGACTAGCCTATGGACAAGTCTATTGACTACTCTATGAACTAGTCTATTGACTTGTCTATGGATTGACCTATTGACTAGTTTATGGGCTAGTCAATTGTCTGGTCTATTGACTAGCCTATGGTCTAGTCTATTGCTTAGTCTATGGACTAGTCTATTGATTATTCTACGAACAAATCTATGGACTATTCTAATGACTAGTCTATGGACAAGTCTATTGACTACTCTATGAACTAGTCTATTGACTAGTCTATTGTCTGGTCTATTGACTAGCCTATGGACTAGTCTGTTAAATATTCTATGGACTACTCTCTTAACTAGTCTATGGACCAGTCTATTGATTAGTCTATGGACTAGTCTATTGATTAGCCTATAGACTAGTCTATTGACTTGTCTACTGATTAGTCTATTGATTGATTTATTGACTACTCTATTGATTATTATATAGACTAGTCAATGGACTATTCTAATGACTAGTCTATGAACTAGTCTATAAATAGTCAATGGACTTGTTTATATTGTAATCTTTGGACTAGCCTATGGATGAGTCTATTGATTAACCTATAGACTAGTCTATTAATTAGTCTATGGACTAGTCTATTGATTATTCTTTGAACAAGTCTATGGAATAGCCTATTGACTAGTCTATGGACTTGTCAATTGTCTGGTGTATTGACTAGCCTATGGACTAGTCTATTAACAAGTCTATGGTTTGATGCATGTACTAGTCTATTGACTAGTCTATTGATTAACCTTTAGACTAGTCTAGTGATCGATTCATAGACAAGTCCATTGAATATTATATGGATTACTCAATGGACTATTCTAATGACTACTCTATGAACTAGTCTATAGACTAGTCTAGTGACTAGTCTATGGATGAGTCTATTGATTAACCTATAGACTATTCTATTGATTATTATCTAGACTAGTCTATGGACTACTCTAATGACAAGTCTATTGACTATTCTAAGGACTATTCTATTAACAAATATATTGACTATTTTATTGAGTACTGTCTAATCTATTGACTAGCCTATGGACTAGTTTATTGATTAGTCTATGGGATAGTCTATTCATTAGACTATTGACTATTCTATGAACTATTACATTGACTATTCTAATGACAAGACTATGGATTAGTCTATTGAGTAGTCTATGGACTATTCCATTTACTAGAATTCTCTAGTCTGTCGACTAGTGTATGGACTACTTCACTGAATAGTCTATTGAAAATTGGTTGAAATTGATATATTGAAATAAAAATATAGTTGAAAAATCGACGGACTGGTCTATGGAATAGTCTATTATTTTGTTTACGGATTAGTCCGACAAGACTATAGACTAGTCTATTAAGTAGTCTTGTATTGTCTAGTCTGTCGACTTTTTAATCGACTATTTGTTCTATTGACTAATCTATAGACTAGTCATGTCTATTTTCTTAAATGTGGACTGATCGATTGACTAGTCTTTAGAATAGTTTATTGACTAGGGTCCCCATAAGAACCCTTACTAATTTATATCACATTACGTATTATGGTCCTATAAGATTCGTCATAACCGAACCTCTTTAACCATTTTAAGTTATTATGACGTAGCAGGTTTCGTTTTTGGTTGGTCCTTTAGGTTGCTGGCTGCAACACGTGAGTCAAACGAATACATATTTTGCTTGTAATATTTATAACACGTCAATTTGGTGTTGTTAGAGGGCGTTCACATTAGGGTGATTTTTTCCCCGTTTTTTTTTTTCATTTTCTTTTTCGCAAAAAGTAAGTAATTTAAAAATGTATATTTTGTTTAAAGTACCCTACAAGTGGTAGAGAAAACTGGACAATCACTAAGAAATGCATAAACAAATATTTTAACATATTTTTCCAATTTATAAATGAAGACACTTTTTACTCAAACTAGGAACTTTTAAGCGTTTCTTTCCACTTTTGAACCACTTAATTATTAGCGAACTAGAGATTTTACTGGTGGTTGGTAATGCAAAGGGTAGCCATAGTTACATTTGTGTGAATATCAAATTATTTACAACAGTTTTTGTAATCAGGAAGTTAATTGTTCTGCAATGTTGCATAACATATATCATAGAGCATTATTAAGTCATTGTCACTCAATAATAATTTGCAATAATTTTCTTTTTTTCGCCTTGTCTTTAGCTGAGTATGAAAAAGAAAAATCGATAACATGTAATGACAAATGTAGTTAGAACACGTCGACTGAATTACTGAATGACTTAAAGGAAAAAATTTGAAGTAAATTTTATAAAATCACAACCCATTACAAAGTGGTTGGAGCTAAAGAGTTAAAAAGTGGGTGGTGGCAATATATAAAGAAAATTACTTATTTGACCCAAAGTCTATTAACTATTAAAAGTGTCTTAAGTAACCAAAACAACTTAATACTACTATATATCGTTCACATTAACATTGTTGAACAATTTCTTAAAACTTACCCTATAGCACTTCTTTAACAATATTATTAAAAGACTTACCTAAAAAGAAAAGAGGTAATAAAAATATTTAAAATTTTATACAAAAAAATTTAAAAATAGTTGTAAATATTTAAAATTTGGAAAAATTGTATTCATAGCTTTGAAATCGAATAAATATTCATCAAACCTAATTAAAGATTTGTATTACACTCTTTATATTAAATTTGAATTTAATAACTGAAACATTTTATACAAGCCGAATTTGGTAACCTTTATATAAAATCTTATTGAATTCAATTTAAAACTTAATTGTCTTAAAAGTATTTATAGTATTTTTATAGCAAATCTTAAAATATTATTTCACTTTCGAATTCTTTTCTATTGTAGCTAAATTGTGTTTAATTCACTATTCAAATTTCATCGTGGTATTTCAGAATTGAATTTGTATCCAATAAAACTATAAAAAAGATTAATAACTTTTTTATAGTATTTTTTGAAATTTGTTTAATTAAGAAACTTTTATGATTTTTTCTCTAACAATGATTTTAATTCAAAATGTGTTATAATATATTTTCTTTAAGTGCAATTAAGATATTTTATCTCACGCAATATAAAATAAAATGATTTTTTTATTAGTTACTAACTGTGGATTTCTAATATTGCTCAAAAGCTAATCAAAGTTTTGAATATCTCATTTAAATATAAATTGTGGGATAAATGTTTAAAGATAGTTGTAAAATTTTAAAATTTTTTAATAAAATTTTGTAGAAAAATTAATCTTGAAATATTTTCTTTAAAACAGTGTTCAATATTTCAAAACACTATATTAAAAATGATCTCCAACTAACTAACTACTAACTAACTAACTAACTAACTAACTAACTAACTAACTAACTAACTAACTAACTACTAACTAACTACTAACTAACTAACTACTAACTAACTACTAACTAACTAACTAACTAACTAACTAACTAACTAACTAACTAACTAACTAACTAACTAACTACTAACTAACTAACTAACTAACTAACTAACTAACTAACTAACTAACTAACTAACTAACTAACTAACTAACTAACTAACTAACTACTAACTAACTAACTAACTAACTAACTAACTAACTACTAACTAACTACTAACTAACTAACTAACTAACTAACTAACTAACTAACTACTAACTAACTAACTAACTAACTAACTAACTAACTAACTAACTAACTAACTAACTAACTAACTAACTAACTAACTAACTAACTAACTAACTAACTAACTAACTAACTAACTAACTAACTAACTAACTAACTAACTAACTAACTAACTAACTAACTAACTACTAACTAACTAACT